AAAAAAAAAAAAAAAGGCTGAGGCAGGAAGATCATGAGTTGGAGGCCAGCCTGGGCAATTTCGCAAGATCCTACTGTTACCAGATGCTGAGGTGCCCAGGGTTCCTTTCTGAGCTCTTGTCCTGCTCAGAGAACTGAATGGGACAACTGGAGAATGTAAAAGTTTAACATTTAGTGAAGGTAAAAGAATAAGAAAAAGAAGAGCTCTGAAGAAAAGAGAAGAGAAACTATATCCTGTGTGCATAGCAGGCAACTACAAGAGCAAGAAGACGATGACCAAGAGGCCAGTGACTGTCTCTTATGTCCTCCTCCTGATGTCAGGCCCAGGCCATCCCGCACAGGCCTTGAGGCTGCGCTGCGACACCTCTCATCCTTGCTGGATGGTCTCTGGGATTGACAGGTCATGCCCAGTTGCCCTGCCAGTTGACCACGCCCTCATCTCGTGCCCCATTTCCTCCTGAGAAACATAAATTCCCATAATTCTCCATGGCTTACGGAGGGAGCAGAGGTCTGTGTTTCTAGCTCCTCCCTGACGGATGGAGCTGTAGGCCCTGCTTACTAGGATTATGTGTTCATGATCTTAGGATGCTGAGCTCACCAGCTGGCCTGAGGACAACCTGTCAGAAAGCAATGCGCATGCAATTCGTGTCTATATGGGGAGCCTGTTCAGTGGAAGAAATCCTGGTGAATTTGTCAGGAGAATAATTCTACTCTGGAGATGGGGATGGAGAGCCCAAATAGGAGAAGGAGCAAGTCAGATTCCCGAGTTCTTGTGGCAGGAAAGAGGACTATTAGATAGACCATCAGTGCTACCGGTGCCTGTTTATAGTGATTCCCCCTCTGCTCAGAGTAGAACGGGGGGTCTTGTTTTTTGAGGAGGAGCCTCAGATCTTCCAGAGGTTCACAGGAGTAGAGCCTCCGTCCTGTGAAAACTTGAGTGACCATTTCCCGTGTAGGGTTTTTATAGCTTGTCACTGTTCCACTAAAGAAGGACCGGAGCTTGATATTTCCTCAGGAAATGGGATTGAGGCTATTGTCTTGAGGAGCTGTAAGGCAAGATTTATTTATTTGGTACAGGGTCTTGTTACATAGCTTGGACTCATAGCAATCCTCCTGTCTCAGCCTCCCCAGTGCTGAGATTACAGGTGTGCACCACCATGCCCGGTTTGGGGCCAGAACAGCATGCGCCACTGGAGATCAAACTCAGGGCCTTGCACTTGCCAGGCATGTGCTTTGAGTGCCTAGCCATCTCCCCAGGCCATGCCCTTCTTGCCTCCCTATCAGTCTTCAAATTTCTCAAGGAGACTTACTTTTTTTTTTTTTTTGAGACAAGATCTCGCTATGTAATTCAGGCTGGTTTGGATTCACTATGTAGCCCAGGCTGGTCTTGAACCTGTGGTGATCCTCCTGCCTCAGCCTCCCTAGTGCTGGGATTATAGGTGTGTGCCACCACATGCAGCCCAAAGAGACTTTAGACATGTCCTTTGAGATGAATGCCAGTGACCTGCCTGGG